CACAGATCTCAATGTAGATCTTCACTCACCTCTTCTCCCCTAGTGGAGGGGGGGAGGGTGCCGTTTTGTGGTTCCCTTCAGGTGCCAAAATGTCTTGGGCGGCCCTGATGAATAGACATTCCCAGCCAGGAAGGGCTTTCATATCGCATCCCTGAGGTACCCTCAGGGCAGATGCCCAAGCAGAACCCTGCACGTCAGAATGGGAAGCAGACGTGCACACCACCACCGCAGCCAAGCCGACCCTCCAATTTTGAATCTGAAGCAATATTTACCATCTCAAGGGCGGGGGCTCCATTAAGTCCAGAGTCTAAAATTATCTACTCCCATCGCAACTCATTCCCACCCACCCCCACAAGGATTTTCACCATCAAAGGCGGAGGAACCGAACCTTTATACCTTGCTCGCCGTGCGGCAGAGCTTGGTTTGATCACTTCAACCGCAGCGCGCCTTCGGGGCTGCAGCGAAGTTGTCCTGCGCGCCCCGGGCGCCTCCCGGTGGGATCTGCGGCGCTGGCGGGTTAAAAGCGGCAGACAAAGCAAGGCGAAGCAATTGCCTGAGCTCTGGGCTTCGGTGAAAGCTGCAGCCCAGGCCTCGGTTTGCAGGGGGAAGGTTCCTTCAATTTATCACACAAACTTCTTATTCCGCCCTTTCTCCCAGGGGTTTAGGGCCACATACTGTTATTTTCTCTCTTCCACCACCCAGGTTTCTCCGCAGTCAGCCTCCTCGGCAATTCTAACAGGGCTCTCCACAACCCAATTCTAGCCGCTGCTTCTATTTCTCATTTTTATTCTCTCTTCTTGCACAATTGCATATTGACTGAACTTTTTTTTTTTTTTTTTTAACACTTCGACACTAAGATGGGCTTTGCACTCCTTCTTGTAGGTCCGAAATGATCTCATCCTGGAATCACTAGCTCTTAAATTTGTGCCCCTCCGGCTGCTTTTTCTTAACGAAAATGGCTGGGGGGGGGCACCTCGAGGGTGTTACCAGCTACGTTCGCCAGGGAAATGTAGGGGGCGATGCAAGATTCCACTAAACCAGAAAAGTGGGGAAGAAAAACCTTGTTTTGTTTTAGACAGCCTTTCCTAACACCACAATCTGTACGACTAGTCGCTGTTTCTCGCCACTAAAAGCGTGGATTTGTGTTGTTGGAGGGAATGAGTCTCCCGTTCTTTCGCCTGCAATGCGCTCTGCAGGGCGCGGATTGGATTTAAAGGATGGGGACTTTAGGTTTACTGGCAACACGGGCTGTCATAAACTCAGTTCCCCCGCAACGATCCTGTTCACGCTCGAGACTAAACACGCAATCCTAGTCTCAGGGACACCGCGCATCTTAGAGTAAGGCGGCAACAAACAAACCTGCAGTTTGCGTCTCGTTGAACTTCGTGGCGCACTGAAGACTTCCTAAATTTAATTGGCCTGGAAGCAAGAGGATTAAAGCGAGCGTGCTTAGTTCGTACTACACACGGTTCCAAATCTAAAAACTTCGAGTGAACTGGATGAGGCTCAAAACTAGCCCGAACCTCGCCTGATTCTTTCACTGGCCGTTTAAAGGACGTGTGATAAATTGCTAGACTGTAGGCAACGGCCAAACTCCAGGGATTAGGTTTCAAGCGCTTTTAAATCCCATTGTTTCATTGGAATCAACTTTAGATCGCGAGTAACGTAAGCATCGGTTTATTTATTTTTTAATCCAATTTTGGTTGCTCGGCACAGATTAAGGAATCTAGGCGCTGAGGTATATTTTCATCCCGCTGCCTTGAAGCAATGTACTGAAGACAGGACAAAGACACGCGTCTTTCTGCCGCACGCGCTTTGGTCTCGGAAAGAACCAGCAGTTACAGGTAGACACAGGCTCCGTAGGGAAGCCCTATGAAAATGGGTGGGAACGGAGCAAAAGAAGCAGCGACTCCCGGGCACTTCGGGGAGCCTGCGCAGGAGAACCTCCTCCCAGATGGTCTCCCCAGTCTGTGCATTTACTTAGGCAAGAAAGCGGCAAAATTAGCTGCGCAATTCTACCCTAGAATTGTACCCTAGTCCATTGGGACTGATTTCAGAGTAATTGCGCGTAGCATTGCGCTTTGAGGGGACCACGGCTGGGCTCATAATACACCTCTAAAGCACATCCCGAAGCGCTTTCTTCCCCTCAAAGAATTCTGGGCATTGTCGTCCCCCGTTACATTTCGCAGCAACCCTGAACAAACTACAGAACCCAGAATTCTTTGAGGGGAAGAATGTGCTTCAAAGATAGTGCATGGATGGAGAGATGGCTAGAACAGGGTGAAAGGGAAGCACCGAAAGAAAAGACACAAGTGTGGCACAAGCGTCCTTAGAGGAGTGCATCGAAGGCGAGCGGCAGCCAAAGCCCCTGGAGAAACTGTTTCACTGCGATGCCTCGGCAGGCGAAGGAGTGTTTCGGGGGAAGCAGCCCAGAAGGGAGACATTCCCTGGAAGTTGTTGCGCGCCCGCGGCCAAACAGGGCTGCGCGGACGCGGCCACCAGCTGCCGCTTTCTCTCGTCGGGGCGGCCTCCTTGCTGGGCGCCCGGCTCCATTTCTGCCCCCGCGCACACAGGCATCCTTCTTCTGCAGTGGCGGAACAGGCGCGGACGCGGAGGGCAAGGCAGCGCCCTTTTGCGCGCCCTAGGACGCAAAGGGGGAAGCAATCTCTCCAGCAGCTAGGAGGCGGCGGAGCTCTGCGCCTCTTGCTCCTCCAGCGCAGGGCGCGGAGAGCTCACAGGGAGATGGCGAGGCTGATCTCCCTGGCAAGGGGGCCAACTTGAATAAAATATGGGGAGGGGGGCAGGTAGGCCCCACCCCGACCTCGATCACAAGAGGAGGCACACACACACCACTTGAATGGCAATGCCCATCAACTTGGGGGGGCTGGCCCCCTCAAATATTTTATTGGCCGGGGGGCGAAGGGACCTCTGCCCCTGGGAGTCCTGGCAAGCTAGCTGCTCCCGCAGCCAATCGGAGTAGGTGGCATTTATTAACTTACTGGGTAGGGGAGATCAAAAGGTCGGAGCTTAAGTCTATTAATTGAGCCTGTTGGGCTGGTCCAATGCTTTTTGCTGCCTGAGGCAGAACAAGTAGGGCGCGCGCGCACACACTCACACTCGATCCTATCCTCTAGGAACACAACACCTGCAGTAAAACGCACGCACACACCTCACAACCGCCTTCTCACCTCTCTGGCTGCTATATAAAAATAAAATAAAAGCGCAACGATAACAAAATAACAGTTCCGCGGTCATTTTATGACATCCCAAACCAGCTGCCTAAGGCCCCTTCCTAATGGGAGGGCCGGCTCTGTGGTGCGGCGTTGCCCTGCTTTAGAGAAGACGGCCCACTATTGTTGCGACAGGCTTGTCAGGAGTGCAACCCTCTCTTTTGAGGGTGCCTTATTTTGAGGGCTGCCCAGCCCAAACCGTTCTTGGCATCCGCCTTCCTCCGGAGACAACGGAATGCGCCTCCAAGACGAACTGCTGGAGAATCACAGCGCCTGTTGTGGCTGCAGAGCCCAAGATGCAACCGCTGCCTCCCGCGTTTGCTTTTGCTGCGTTTGCCTGCACCGAAGTGACCTGGAGCAAGCCTGGGTGGAGTGTATCGTGTGTATCCTGGGCTGCCCAGAAGACAATTCAGCCTCTCGGATGGGGGTCCAAAGGAAAGCAGAGCAACTACCTTTGGCACCAGCTTGGCTGCAGGAGGTGCTGGAAGGAGGCGGCATCTCCAAGGCGCCTTAGGGACTCCAGCCCCAAAACAAGGAACCAGGCAAAGGGAGCGCCAGAGCCTTCAAGTTGCCCGTGGGCACTTAGCAGCATTCAGACGTTTCCCATTGCATTTCTATATTATAGCCGCTATTTCCACACTTGCACCTTTGCCTAGACATCGCCAGGTGCGATTTTAATGGAAGATGCCAAGGGTGTTTGTCTAAGAACGTGGCACATTATGATGTATATAATGGTATTTTTTGGTGGGAATCCATCTACAGTAGTGTCTCCTAGCTCACCCCTCCAGTTGCGTTCCCTTGCTGAATGAAGAGATTTAAATAAACCTTCATAAATGCTGAAATTTGCTGGTCTGCGTGTGTTTTTTGGGTGGGGGGGAAGCCAATGCCAAACACCACCAGGTGGATATCCAGGTTGTGCTTCCCTTCTTGCTCCTACCAGCCAGAAACAAAGGCTGTGCGGGCACCTCCACCCTCCCAGATGTCTGGGTCACTTGGCAAGATATTCTTCTCCCCATCAGATGCCCATGTCACCCCTTTCCCATGGAAGCAGCAGCTCCATAATGGAAGATGCACGCACGGCCCTTTGTAAAAAATGATGCCAATCCAAGAGATGTAGGACATATTATAATGTTTGAGGACTGGGAAAGATTGTGGAAGAACGGGGTCAAGTTCACCGCATGTACTTTGTTAAAGGAAAATATAATGAAAATGATGTATTTGACTCCTGTAAAATTAGCAAAGATATATCATAATTGTGACAATATATGTTGGAAATGTAAAGAAAAGGAAGGAACCTTTTATCATATGTGGTGGACCTGTCCCAAGGTGAAAGACTTCTGGGAAAAGAAGTTAATAAGTGTAATTTTCAAAAAGGCTATGATTTATGCTTGTTTGTCTTGTGGGTTTGTTTGTTTGTTTATAATATTGTGAAAAGTAATATATATATATTTTTTTTGGGGGGGGGGGGAATGATGCCAATCCTGGGCCGCCGGGTCCGTGAGCCAACCAGCCGGGCAGAAGAAAATGGCTCCGTGAGGGAGTCTCGAGGCAGGAGACCTCGGCGGTGCAGCCGAATAGGGCGCCTGACTCCGGCGGCCCCCTCAGTCCCCACCATCCCCGGTGGCCTCGACCGAGACTCCGCCAAGAGCCGCCGGCCTAGCAAGGCGGGAAAGCCGCGCCGGGAGGCCGGGAGCAGAGGCCGCGCGGGCGGGCCCTTCTTCCTCCTCCTCCTCGCCCGCGCCGCCATTTTGCCTGCTCCCCGCATTCTCCTCAGGCCTCCCCCATTTCCAGCGCGCCCTCCTCCGAGGCCTCTTCCTTGCCGCTTTGGCGCCTCAGGCCTCCTCCACCGCCTGGAGGTTTCCGGGCCTCTCCGAGGAGCAGACACAACAAGCCGCCTCTCGGGAGAACCCCAGGCCTCCTCGCCGCCTCGGCCTCGCGGGGACCGGGCTGCTGCCTGACGGGAGGCCGGGTCAGAGAGGGGCCGGGGCGGCCTTGGCTTGGCAGAGGGCCGCAGCGCCAATCTCGGGGCGGCCTGGGGGTGCTCGCTGCCGGGGAAAGGCGGCGGCGTTGGCTGCAATTGAGCCCCGGGAGTGTCCGGCTCGGGAGGCCGGAAAAGTTTGCTCGGCGCGCTGCGAAGCTCGGCCTGCGAGGGCGGGAAGCGGGGCTGGAAATGCTCCGTTTTTTGTGGACGGGACGTGGAAACGGCGAGTCCGGAGTCGCCGGAGAGGAGACGGATTCATATCCAGGATGGCAATTTGAAAGCGCCATATTGGGGATGTTTTGCCATTTAAAGCGCTTAGTGGAAGGGAGAAAAGGAAGAGGCTTTTTCCCCTTTTCTGCCCTGCATCTCTGTGAAGTTTGTTATGGTGACACTCGAAATCCGCTTTTCCTTCCTCGTTTTTTTTTAATGAGAACCGAAAACTTGCACCGACAAGTATGCACACCTTTCCTTTCTTAATATATATATATATATATCCTCTTTTCTAGATTCATATTCATCCAAAGGGCGTCACAGTGGCTCAGAGCCTCTTCGACGCCATTTGCACGCCTGATATTTAAATTGGTTTCCGCACCTAAAACCCAATTGATATTGCAAAGGTAAAAAGCAAACACTGGTCAGAAGACTGAATTTTGAGTTTCTCTTCCTTGGCTTTCCATCTCACATTTTCATAACTGGCGAAACTAGAGTGAGAGAAGTGCTCTTCAAGGGTCTTGTGTGAAAATGTGTTACAGCACAATTTCTGGTGAACTTACTCAGAGGTAAGTCTTAAGTTCAACAGGGTTCCCCCACTCTTTAGAAAATGTGTTGAAGTTTGCAGTTCTGAAGATGCCCAACTTTTGCAGGTGATGATGCATTCCAGGTGAAATATATACTTTATTGGCATTACAGGAAAACAGCCATTTAAGGGAATGGCTAGAATCTCGTCACAGCTCTCCATAGGCTCAAAGGGGTCAACTCTCTTCTGCCATCCTATCTTCTGCACAACGCTAGGAAATTTTAAGTGGGAGAGCTGCAGGGAGGGTGGACCGTGGAGGAAAACGTGTCATTTAGGCGTTTTGACTTCAACATCAATAACTTTTGTTTATACACCTACTCTGAAGCTGTCAATTATAATTGCTTGTTCTCCTATAGCTCAGCTGCATGGCAGTCCAACTGAGATCTGGACAGGATACCACCTGATTTAGCTAATCATACACTTTACTAGAGAAATATAGGTCTTTTCCATTTTCTGGTCTATAGTAGGTATAGAGTGGTGAGAGTGGAAATGTAGTCTAACTTCAGGGAGGTCAGAAGAGCTAAAAAATAAAGTGGAGAAGACGAGTGGTGCAGGAATTCCAACAGTGGAAACCTAAGTGTTTTAACTCAGAAGTAAATCCCGCTATACTCAGTGGGATTTGCCTGCTAGTAAAATGCTTAGTGTTACAGCCCCAATCTTTTATTAAAGGAGTTTAATTACTAAAGTGAGCATCTGAATCTGATCTTTAAAATCACTTGAGGTGCAGGGAAAGAGTGTGCTTCCTCACAAATTTCTACAGCTTCTCACAAGGATAATAACTTCATGATAACAAACTGAGCCCTACACTGTTTGACCCACATCAGTTGTTTTCAATTGCTATGCTCAATAATTACTACTTTTATGCTGGCAGGTTTTTCAGAATAGGATTAATTTTCATGATTCCAATGAATGGTTACTCAGGATGGGAATGGTCTGAATCTGCAGAAGCTCTACAACGTGGACCATTTTCAGAGCCTGGAAGCTTGTGCAACATGTGCAAAGGCTTGCAATGTGACACCATCATGCGTGTTTTGCATAGGTTTCTGCCTATGCAGCTTGTAGGTCATTGGATGGAGGTCAGATATAACTGCCTTGGGAAGATCATTCATCCTGATAGGTGGCTTTAAAAAAATGCATTTAGAAATAGTTTTCAATGGACTTAACAGTAACAACTGTTAGTCGCCTGGCCCTGTCAAAGCAAAAATGTTACCGGTAAATATATTTTAGAAAATGGCCTGCTCTGTCACTCTGGTCTGTTGACATACAATGCTGCTGTTTACATGGAATGGTGAGGTTTCTTACTTCAGGACAAAAGTGCCCAAATCAGCTACAGCATTTGCTTAATCTGAAATATGGAATGAAATCTCAAACTCGAATTAAAAACATGAAATAGTACTTTCAGAATTTGAAATAATCTTTTGACAGCAACAAATGAAGGGCAGCAGTCTTATGCATGTCAACTCAAAAATAAGCCCCATTTTGTGCATGGGAGTGCAATTCCTATAAGCATGCATAGAATCCAGCTGATAGGTCCCTTTTGCTCTGATGATGTCACATAATGAAAAGAATGTGGGAATGTCTGTATATTGAGTATTTCAAAAAACTGGATACCACATTAGTTGACTGAATAGCATAGCAGGAGCTTTGGAACTTCTGGGGGCCAAATTGCAGGTGATACTCGTTTGACTTTTGTGACTCTTGAATCCCACAACAGTAAAGGGGAATTTTTGGTGGCCCATAAACTTGGCCAAAGAACAAAAACAAAAAAACCTTTTTCTCATGGCTACTTAACCATGATCCTTCAAAGACAGATTACCCAAGAAAGCATGATAGCATTCAGCCTCAAGCTTTGACAGCAGGTGCTTTGGAAGCCAGTCTAACTAAAAATAAAAAGTGTGTTGAAAAAAATGGAAGAATAAACAAAAGAAAACGGCAATACGGTTGTGGGTCGTCCGCTGAAAAACGCAGTGTGCAAATCTTTGCTACAGGCGTAAGGGTGCTGCTGCTATCCAGACGGTGTCAGAAGTTAATGGTTATTTTAATAAAACCGAGATGTGCAGAGCCCAAGCCCTTGAAGGTGGAGAGGGAGACGGGGCAATGTGGGGTGCAGGGGAGAGAATGCACGGAAGAAGGATCTCTCTGAAAAGAGATTTTGTGCAAATGCTGCGCTGTGCTTCCCGCCATGGAGCAGCATTCGTCAGCTGCAACATTCTCAGAAACACTCGGTCATAATGGGCAGTACTTCAGTGCAAAAGCAAGGAAAGGCAGTGAATGTCTGGATCTAATGGTTTACCCAGAAGAAAATCCCACTGGTTTTAGCAGGGCTTCCTGGGATCGTAGCCTTTATCTGAACACCCTAGGGAAAGAAGGACGTGGGAGAATTGAGAGATCCAGCATCTGCGTTTGTGAAATCAACCTGATCACCACCAGAAGGGCGAAGAAGACCATCGCAACCATTGAAACCAAAGATGAAATTATGCATTGCTGTCCCCGCCCCTTACATGAGCTTTTTTCGCCCTCCAAAAAGCAAGGACATCGCCATCATTTGTTTTAAAACAACGGAAAAGAAACCAGTTCGACCTCTGCCTTTTCCCTTTATTCTTAAGAATGCAGCGCCTTGTCTAAGAGAGAAATTATTTTCCCGCAAAAATTCAGCCTCAGGGTCCTGGATGCCCAGATATCCAGCCGCTATCTCAGCCGAACTCTTAGCAAAGGCGTTGCAGGCGCCAGCCTCTGGGAAGTTCTCCTGAGCCAGCCCCATAGAAACGAACGTCGGTTACTCAAAGGCCCCGAGGGGCAAGGGTGCTTCTGCCACTTTCTCTTGTACGCAGCTTAATTCGTTCTTGCAGATCCCCTAAACCAGAGTTCAGCGCCCCGCTGCCCTTTCTCGTTCTGCGCGACGCTGGCCTGGTCTCTCCTCTCCCCAACACCCCTTTCCATAAAAGACGCCGGGAAGACTTTCCACTGCGCGGCTTTCCGCTCGAAAACCTCTAAAACTTTACTGCGGGGAAGGATTGAAGGCCTGAGGGAAACGCCGTCGAGATTTCTCACTAAGGCAGCCTGAAGCAGAGGGAGCCGTCGTTGCATTTGATCTGGTCTATAAGGACAGATCGTGAAGCTGAGGCTCCAATACTTTGGCCACCTCATGAGAAGAGAAGACTCCCTGGAAAAGACCCTGATGTTGGGAAAGATGGAGGGCACAAGGAGAAGGGGACGGCAGAGGACGAGATGGTTGGATAGCGTCTTCGAAGCTACAAACATGAGTCTGACCAAACTGCGGGAGGCAGTGGAAGACAGAAGTGCCTGGCGTGCTCTGGTCCATTGGGTCACGAAGAGTCGGACACGACTAAACGACTAAACAACAACAATAACGGAAAAGTTTCGAAAGCGCGCTGGCGAAGCCTCCGTTCGCACTCTGCGTGGCCCTTGCGCGCCACTTGTGGATCACGGAGCTTTAGCCTGCGCGCTAGGCCCTCCGAACGAAGCAGCCCTTTTGCACTCCACCCTGGCCTCTCGCCTTGCTCTGCCTCCTTCCAAATCCATCCTCACCCGCGTCTTGCCCAGCTCTCAGATGGTGACAAAGAGGGGCCGCTCGCCTTTCACCAGCTGCTTCCACCGGCCTTAGGTTTCGACCACGCCGGACACCCGCTCCTGCCTCCTCGGAAAGCAGGCGCACCTGCCCGCGCACCCTGGGTGCCATCCGAATGTGTGGCATCTTCTCTCGCCACGGTGCAAAGCAGAGAAAGAGGTCGCCTTTGGGATGGCGCTGCAGATCGCGCGGATTTCCACCCGTGCGGATGGGGAGCTCGACACAGCTAGAGAGCAAAGTTCAACCTAGAAACAGCCCCCTCCCTCGGGAGGGGTGCGTGCAGGGGGGTAGAAAACTGCGCAAGAGGGTGGCAGTTCCCTGGCCATTGTTTAAACAACCCCCCTCCCTCACCGCTTCTCAGTTAGGAGGTGGGGCTGCTGACAACAAAACGGCCTGCGGCTGATCTCCCCTCTGCGCTTTTTACTCTTCTGCGCAACCCCCTTACTCAAAGGTTCCCTAAGCTTGAATAGGACCGCCGGGGAGCTTGCCAAGAGGTCAGCTGCCTGTGAGTGAGGATTCAGAGCCCCTTCCCCACACGCCCAGGCGCAGGGTCCAAAAGGGCAAGCGCTCTAGCCTAAGAAAAGCAACCAAGGCCCTGTGGCACCTTGGGTACTGCGGGAGACCTTGATGAAATGGGTCCAGCCCACGAAACCCATTCAGGTCGGGTCGCAGCGCACTATCCTTCCAGGGTGTCTCGGCTGGTTTGACTGCAGGCGGAAAGACGCGAGAATCGGACGCACAAACTGCTCCAATTTGCAAGCAGTTTTAAGCGAAAGCAGCTGCATGTAAGGCGACTCGGTCCCAGCCAGGTCCATGTAACTAATTGGCCGGAGTCGACCCAGGCTTTGATTCTGGCTGTCCAGTTAAGGAGGAAGTGGGGTGGGGGGAGCGGAACAAGAAAA